TAAAGTGTCAAACGAAAGCACCTTTTTCAGCAACTTATCCTATCACATCTCGCCTAAGGGCACTAGAAATACGTTTGAAGCCACTGCCACGTCAGCTTTAACTTACACCCAAAATTCACTCGAAATGGGTTTGAAGCCCTGGGGCTTCAAACCTTCATTTTTTACTTTTTTAAATATACATCTTCTAAAATTAAATTAATAAAATGTAATTAATTTATTATTTAATTAAATTGAAACACAAATAATAGAAAAATACACTAATTAAAAAAACGACAATAATTTAAAAAAGATACATTAATAAAAAAACTAAGGTAAATTATATTTCTCCTTGATCTCTCTTATTCGTTGCTCGTAGATCATTAGTCCAATCTCCGACAACGTCCCGGGGCGGTTTGCATGACTTTCATCTCGGCCTCCTGCTCCTTTAGCTTCAACTCCTTCTCCTTTAGCTTCAACCTCTCTTGTTTTTGGAGATTGAACGCCCGAAGTTGTTCAACCATTGCCCGGCCGATTTCGTCGTGGGAAGAAGCAGAAACAGAGGCGGACCCTCCCGAACCAGAGGCAATGGATTTTGCCTTCTTTCTTCCGATCGGCCGTGGAATGGGGTCATCATCATCGGAATCCACAACGTTGAAGGAAGAAATTTGATCGATCGAACCGATAGTCTCGTCGACCTCAACCTCAGCGTCGACGGTGGATCTTTTCTGGAACGAGCCGCCGTCGGGATTGTTGAGTTGTTGCCACTTCGGGGAACGACTCAAAATCCTCCAAAGATCAATGGGCACCTTGCCTTAGTGCTCGTTGTCTTGATACCAGGCCGTGGCAAGTCGGAGAACATTGGCGTCGTTCGTCATGCTCCTTCGGGATCGGGAGCATTTCTCGTAAACTCTGATAAACTTTCGGACTTTACGGTTGATGTGGCTCCATTTCGAAGTGAGTTGATCCCGGGTTCGGTAGGAGCCGTCCTTCTTCATCGCCAAGAAGAACTTCTCCTCGATACGATCCCACATCGCATCCTTCGTTTGCTCCGAACCTTTAAAAATGTACTCCGTATTACACAATTTTTTTAGACACCATTAAATATAATATATGTAAATAAAAACATAAATATATTAGAAAAAATAAATTAAATTTTTTACCAATGATAGGATGCTCGGAGACGTCAACCCAAGCCGACGCCAATATGTACTCCTCTTTCTGCGTCCACTTTTGGATTGACCGTGGTCAACGTGCTTTTGGCTTTGTGGCTTTTCCGGCGTGTACTTTTGTTCGACCCACACGGTTTCGGTTGAGTCTCCGGAACCGAATCTCGGTCGGCGTATCCCGATTGTTGCGTCTCGTACATCGGCGGTCGATCGCCCAACTCTTGGTAATACCACATCGCGGCGTCGCTTAGCGCGAGAATGTCGGGAAAGAAGCCGGAGCCGGAAGGATTCATGTTGAAAATTTAGAGGGGGGGGGTTTGAATTTTGAAATTTAAAGATTGGGAAGAAAAAGAGATTGAAGATGGAGATGGTGTCAGACATTGGGAGGGGGGTTTGAATTTATAATATAAAAAAAAATTTGAATTTGGGGGTGCAACGGCTCAAATAGCCGTTAGGGGGGAGGGGGAGACGAATGACGCTGCGTCATTTGTTTGACGCATGCCTGGTCACGCCCGGGTAACGCCGCAGGGGGGCGGTGTTTAACACCCCCGGGGCGTGAAAACCGGCATAACGCCGGTCGGCGTGACAGGTATACCCAGTGCTCTAATGAGGAAGAACGACATCACCTTCACCTCCCTTCTGCATCCCGCATGGGGGGTGTTCCCACTGAGACTTCCCATTTCCGGGCTATTTTGATGACCATGTCAACGTAAATGAGGGCTCGCTCAATTGGGTACACGTTTATTTTTTATTGACGAATGGAGCCTTTTTACTAATCATTTTTAAATAACTAGTATCACCCTCGTGCGTTACACGAGTCATATTTACGTTATTAAATTAAGATCATTGTTGAATGATAGAAAATGATATATAATAGAATATAGAGATTTTATTATTTTAAGGTACAAAAGTTTTTTTGGTTAACAAAATGCTACAATTCTGGGTTAAATTATCTCCATCACTTGGCATCAATCTGCATGATTAAAATTTCAAAACACTTAAAGTATAAAATTATATTTTAAAAAATTATAAACTTTAAAATGTTGTAAACTAAGCATTTTATTCATCATATGTCGGGTTATTTATACATAGAAGGGGAGGAGGTAAAGTCTATGTAAACAAAGTAACCAGAAACTCCAAATAATAAAAGTAATATATTTGTCATATTTAACAAAAAAAAAAGTATAATTGTACTTATTTTTCTCTAAAAGCTTTAACTTCACCAGATTCCTCATTTAATAAAGCATTGCTAATATTATAAAATGTTGTAATCGAAACTTGTTCTAAAATATTAAAAATAGTAACTGTTAGACTTAAATTTTTATGTCAGATATTTTCAAATTTATATTCAAACAATATAATCAGAATACCATTGTATAGCCTAGATTTCACCATTTGCATCACCCAAATTGGAGGCTGTGATTCTGTAATGCCCCAAAACATACCCTAAAATTATTAATGAATAATTATTCATTATTATTAGGTTTTCGGCCGAAATAAAATATACTCCGTATTTTGATATCTAAAATCAAAATCTAGATAAATCTCATAGAGATAAATCCAAATATGTTGACTTATTGTATGATCCTAATTGGGAACTTGAGTACATACCTAAATTAAGAATGAATGAAAAATTTGTTTATAATGTAAACTTTGAAAAGAATTATTGAAACAAATCATGACAATAAATAATATGAACTAATGTGAGAACCTTTTTGAGTAAAGGTCAAACAACTCAATTTTGACTCTGTCAAAGTCAAACACCTAAAATTATGATGTCAGAAAAAGTATTACCAATAAATTATATCGTTGGATAGAGTTTAACTATTCGATCGCAACAGTGCATACTGAATTCAATTCGGAGAAAGTTGGACCAAAAAGTGTACCCCGGCTGAGACTAAATTAGTCCCAATCAGAGAAGTAACGTGCTGAATCTCCTAAAATCGCACCTCTTTTGAATGAAGATCGTGAATTGAAAATTTCTACGCAATATCTGTCTTCTTCCTCCTCTTCCTTCTTATAAAAGAAGAACCTAATCTTCTCATTTCTCCACCATTCTCCATATTTCTTCTTCCATTTCGTTTCTAATAGTGTGGAGAGTAGAGTGGTGATGTCCAGAGAGCTGGAGGTGACCGGAGGAAGCTATAGTGTTTGCTGGAAGTTTTGCTGTTTAATCTCCGAAATTATCGTTAAGCTTCGAGGTAAGTCTGTAGACATATCTAGTGACTAGAATGTTCATATAGATCGTTTCTACGTCCATAAATAATCATTTGGTTGAGTTTTGTGTTTGATATGCTTGAAGAACTAAGAATCGTAAACCTTGAAATAGTTGTTAAAACTATGAATTGATGATACCAAAATGATCTATGAACTTTAGAGACCATTTCTCTGTGGTTTAATTGAAGTTCGATGACTAAAAATAGTATTTTCGAAATTGGATCCGAAGGTTGAAGAAGATGACTAATGATAAAAAAGCATGGTGGATCGATCCACCATACTAGATTGATCCCCTAGGGATAAAAATGATGTTTTGACAACTAAAATGACCTTACGTGATGCATGACGGTAAGCTATAGTGTTAAGACTCGAAGCTAAGCCACTAATTACTATTGGATGTTATGTTGATTGATGATTATGATAAATGATTATTATGATGATTATGATTAGATGAACCCACTGATTAAATGATTATTGATGATTTAACTATGATTTAAAATGAATACATTTATTGTTATGAAATGATTTGGACTATAAGGATATCTAGAAGAACTTTAAGATATGCCTAGGTTGGCGTTGGGTTCCAAGAATATCTAGAAGACTTCTAAAATATGTTAGAAATAGGCCTTGCGGGTATAATTATAAATATTCGGTGGTCTAGGTTAAAACGTATGTACGTGATCTACAACCCAAACTCGAGGATCACTCGTTTGGGGATACCACCCAACCCGACAGTGAGCATTCCGCTATTTGGTTTCTGGAAGACCTTAAGCAAATGTAAGTTTAAGATTTTGAACACCTCTTTTGAAAATTTGTATCTTAAACTATGCTTAGCTTAAGGGTTAGTTAGGAGTACCTTTAAACTAAAATATAGTTTAAGAATTTTAAACTAGAATTCGTTTAAGAATTGGTAAATATTAAAGAAATTGGTCTTAGACTAAAAATAGTTTAAGGATATTGTTGAATGTCGAATATGAATGTTGAATGTTGAATATTAAATGATAAATATTGAATATTGATTATTGAATTTCTGAACTGAACATTATGTGCATGATGTCAAATGATTTGATTATGAATTGAGTTTCAATTTATATGGATGTTCAACGCATTAAATATGCTTATTCAGCTTTAATGCTTAGTGTGTAGTGTGTTTTATTTGCTACACGCAAATTAATAGAAAGAATGATGTGACGTGATCCTAGAGGCAGAGTGAGACGAGATTGTTAGAACGGGTGTGATGATTTTGAATTGAAGTTAATCGATAATTGAATAAATAAGAATTATTTATTCTTTAAAAAGAATAAAAAATATTACATTGGAGATTCTAATCGTCTCACTATATCGAAACTAATCTGATTATATTTGTAAAGATTTAAACTAAGAGACTGACCGGTACTAATTAATCAAAAGAATTAGGACGAATCAGGTGGGACTTACAAATACTTTTTGATTAATTATAAAAGTTAAATCATTGGGTAGGAATCAACTAATCGAATCCAAAGAAGTGAACGGATCTCGATTCGAAACAATTTAGCTCGAAAAGTGTCTTATTACCCAGACATATTAAATTAAATTAGGAGTGCAAAACCCTAGTAAATATGGAGTATTTAAATTGTTTTCGCCCTAGCCGCCGTAACACTGTCTTCGTCTCTCCCAAACGGCTGGTCTGCAGTCTTCTTCCATCGGGTGTGACGGCGACCAAGGCAAATTGACGTGCTCCGGTCTTCTCCACCAACCATCGACGGCGACCCTAGCAACGGTCAGGCGACGACGCCGATTTTGACGGACGATGATAGGACGAGAAAGCGCAGCCACCCTCTCCTCTCCGGCTACTAGGAGCATGGTGCGGCTCCTCTCCAACTGGAAATCGACGGCGGCACATCCTCCTAACAACGTCGGAAACTGGCAGCGGCGTCTGGGAGCAGCCGGCAGGTCCTAGCAACAGCGGTGATGTCAGACGCCAGCGAAGCCCGGGCGGCGAGTTTACCTGGTGCACGACAAAGGTGCTCCGGCGAACGACTTCCAGCGACTGGATACATTGGGGTACTGATCGATTGGGTTCGGGCAGGTCTGGGCAGCGGCGGTTATGCCCGGATGGCGTTGGGTGTTCCGAGGAGGCATCGGGCATCGGTGACAGCCTTGGACAGCGGAGACGTTTTCCTGGCGATAGTCTTCCGGTGACGTTCATAGGAATACTACAAAAGAACCGAGGTGAGTACGTGGACATCTAACTCTAGAACATGCAAATATGTTTGGAATTATGTTCATAATTGTTATCGTGATTGATTTGTGTGGAATACTTCATTGAATTGCTATGATACATGCAAATATGTTTGAAATTATGTTCATAATTGTTATCGTGATTGATTTGTGTGGAATACTTCATTGAATTGCTATGATACATGCAAATATGTTTGAAATTATGTTCATAATTGTTATCATGATTGATTTGTGTGGAATACTTCATTGAATTGCTATGATACGTATTGGGAAAACTTTGGCAAGTACCTAAAAATAGGTTGCATTGATGATCACGAGAACAAAAACGCCTTGCCCCTTTGCTGAGATTTTTATCTTCTCAAAGTGAGGAATATACAGTCCTTGATGAATATGTTGAGAACATGAAGCCAGGAAATATTTTGTATTGTTTCTGAGAGTGTATTAATTGCAAAGCACACTCCCTTTTTGGAAAAGCTAATTGAGAAAGACATTGAAGTGTGGGATTTGTGAAACAAATTAAGTTGGTCTCTTACACTTTGATACCACGTCTTGAATGCCATTTCTTCTCGTTTATGCAGGTCCTCTTCTTAGTTAATTTGTTGATGAACTTGCAATCCAGCTGCTCAAGTGCTATAAGGAAAAAGAGTTAGTTGATATTAGGAAAGAGGATCTGCATCTTGGTTAGTTATCCAAATCCAACTATTTATGTTTAGAATTTACTTAAAATTAAGTCACAATATTACGTAGTAGTTGTTGGGAACTTAGGGATCTAATTTTTTTTTTGTAGTGAGAGATTTGTTAAGTCAATATCCTCAGTTGTGAATGTCAATTAAGAGTGGGAAAGGCATACAAAGAGATGGGATAAAATGTGTGCCTTGTGATAATATTATGGCTGTTGAGGAATCTAATCTCTGCTTTTGACATCTGGGAACTTCCAGCATCAAGAAGATAAGAACGAAGACTCGGAGAAGGGGATGAAACAAGATTTTGGTCCAACCTGTGATTGGATAAATAAGCGGTTAGGCAAAAAAGTTTCCGGGGTACAAATCTCAAACCGTCTAAGCTCGTCTCCTAGTGTTCTACTAACTGGAAAGTTTGGTTTGTCTGCAACATGGAAAGATGTTTTTTTTTCATATTGTTTTGAAGTTATTTTCTGATACACGTGATTGATGTGATTGTTGCAGGCTGACGAAGGCCCAAAGTGCTGGCAATACCTCTAGCTTGGCATTTATGAAAAGCAGGAGGATCTTTGGGATAAATCCTAACCACCCTATCATCAGAACATTGGACGTGAGTTAGTTTGGTTGATTTATTAAGATAGTTTTTGCCAATCCACTTTCCCAACTTTTTGTTTTTTGGTAAATGTCTCTACTTTACATGGTACACGAGGCGTCCAAAAACAGGCCCAAGGACGAAGAAGCTGTGCGAGCAATTGATCTTTTGTACGACACGGCTTTGGTTTGCCGTGGTTACATTGTGAGTAATATCACATCTTATTTCACTTGCATCGACACTTGCAATGTCTTTTTACAACATCGTTGTACATTAATTACTATAATCGTTGTACACATGGGCACAACTTTGTTATATCTTTAGTGCATTAATTATTAATTATTGTAATCAAGGTACACAACTTTGGTGGATGAGCTTTCTAATTTGTAAGATATATATTAGTAATATATTATTATTATTAATACATTATTACTAAAATTTCATAATGCCTATTTATTTTTGAAAATTAAAAGTAAATATACATTTTAAAATAAAAAAATGAATATTTAAATGCAAGAGATGCGTATCGAAACTTGGTTAATATTTCACAAGTTAAAAAAATGAACGACAACAAACAAGTATTTTGAATCTCTGTGAATATTTTTATGTTCATACACAAAAACTAAAAACTCAAAAAGTTTAGTTTACACATAATAGAACTTGAACCAATTTTTTTAAAAAAATTATTACTTAGTGAAGGAATTTAAGAATGTTACTTTGAGGTATTATTTTTTAATAATATTTTAGGAGTAGAATATATGATTGGTTCGGAATTTTTTATATGGGACCATGCCTCGTACCATTCTCAAATACTCCTCGTTATTTTTTTTGGTTCGGTATTCTCATTTTTTTGGGAAATTTCAGTGTCACTTCGGTACTTACTCACCCGTAGGCGCCATTGTTAGAATTAAACAGTGCATCTACACTCGACTATAAATCATTCAAGTTGACGTGCCGCATTTTTTTAGAATTAAGAGTAGGTAAACATGCCTAATTAATTATGAATATCTGATTGTTTGATTTTCAATTTTTTAGAGATCCATTACGTTTTTAGTTTAAGATTTGCTAAGTTCGTTAAGCAAACCGTAGACACTACTGTGCTACATTTAGAAGCAAGAAGTTTTATCGCTTGTGATGTTGGGACCCATAAGATAGGTCTAGCTGGGTGCCGGCTTCTCCCTACTGGGTACATTGTTCAACCATTGGGGTAAGCATACTAATCTCAAGTGTACTACTTTATTGGGGTAAGCATACTGAACAATGTACCCAGTAGGGAGAAGCCGACACACAGCTAGACCCATCTTATGGGTCCCAACATCACAAGCGATAAAACTTCTTGCTTTTGAAGGTAGCACGGTAGTGTCTACGGTTTGCTTAACGAACTTAGCAAATTTTAAACTAAAAATATACCGGATCTTTGAAAAAATTGCAAATCAAACAATTATATATTTATAATTAATTAGGCATATTTACCTACTCTTAGTTCTAAAAAAATGTGGCTGGTAAACTCGAATGATTTATGGTCCAGTGTATATGCACTATTTAATTTTAACAATGACGCCTATGGGTGAGTAAGTACCAAACCGACATCGAAATTTACCAAAAAAATTGAGAATATGAAAAATACCAAATCAAAAATAATACTGAGAAAAGTATTTTGGAACGGGACGAGGTGACGTCCCATACCGAAAATCCCGAACCGATTATATATATTACTCCGTAAAATATTATAAAAAAATGATATCCCGAAGTAATATTTTTATATTCCTTCACTAAAAAAATATTTTTTTAAAAAAATTTGGTTCAAGTTCTATTATGTGTAAATTATACTTTTATTTGAGTTTTAGTTTGTGTATGAACATAACACAAAGATTCAAAATACTCGTTTGTTGTCGTTCATTTTTTTAGTTTGTGAAATACATACTAAGTTTTGATACATATCTCTTGCATTTAAATATTCATTTTTTTAATTTTTATGTATATTCAGTTTTAATTTTCAAAAATAAATAAGCATTGTTAAATTTTAGTAATAATGTATTAGTAATAATAATATATTAGTAATATATCTTACAAATTAGAAAGCTCATTTGCACAAAGCCATGTACAATGATTACAATAATTAATAATAAATGCACTAAAAGTATAACAAAGCTGTGTATAACGATTATAGTAATTAATGCACCAAATTTATTAATTAATTAATGCACACTCCAGAAAAAGTAATTAATCGAAGAGCATTGCTAGATTCACAAACAGAATGCTCACAAACTTACTATTTATCGTTTTAATTCTCATTTTAAAATTTATTAGACTATTTAATTTTACACATGGCAAGAAAATAAGTTATCTCACTTGGAATGGACAAATAGATAGGATACCCATTTCGGTGTTATATGACCAAATCAACGAGGGCAACAAGGGCGATGGAGATTAGTTTCCACAAGCTTACCAAGCTGTAGTTGATATACTAAGGGCTCACTTAGTGAATTTTGGAAATATGATAAGATATATGTTTTAAAATCTGAAAGAAATGATATGGGTTTTGAAAACTGGAAGAAAAGTGTTTGGAGAAAAGAAAAATGAAATGAAATCACAGTCATAGATGTTTGGTGAGTAATTAAGAAATCAAATGCAGATTTCAGAATTGAATTTACTAGCCGCTAAAATTATAATTTTACTTTTTGAGGAAAAATTGTATTTGTACAGCCTATTAACAGAAGTTGTCTATTTTATTATCATTATTTGACTTTTAAAAAATTAATTTTTTTAATATCTTTTTAAAAATAGTGTATTACAATACAAATTCTCCAAAGAAAAAAAACATCACTACAAGTATAAAAACCCACATCTATAACACATGTAATATTCACCAAATGAATACATCGACATATATAATGCTATACAAAATAGAAAAAATCATAAATTAATGTTCACTTAAAAAGTGGCATCCACAAAAAATGTGGATAATATGTTTAAAAATGGTGAAACATAACTTTATTTTCACATAAAACGTCACCTGCGTTGAATAATAGCAATTTTAATATTCACTAAGATAGCCCAAACTCTAGCCACGCAGATTTGTATTAATTACATTAAGAATGAATTCTTTTTTCCACTCCTGATCGGGGCAATGATAGTAGAGAGAGAGATTTTTCTCATCTGAAGATAATTTTCTTACTGCAAGCATTGTTTGAGTTCTTGAAAGCCCAGGATTTGAGCTCACCTCATGGAATAAGCCTTCTTTTTTAAGCTTCAATGTCCTTTTTTTAGCCTCACTTTCTTCTTCACGAGCCATTATGGCTAGCTCATGTTCTTGAGTTGTAGAGAAAGCACTCGCAATTGTAGAGAAATGAGAGGTCATGCCACCTAAAAAAGATAAAATATTAGAAGAAACGTTGATAATTGATGAGTTCAACTCAACCTCTGGATTTTTCATTTTGGCTTTGCCCTTTGCATAGTTCTTTTCTTGGTTTTTTCCCTGTATGCGGTGCGGTGATGGTTCGGTAAAGGACTCGTCGTTACCTTTATCCTCTCCAAATACATCGTTGTTAATGCCAGCAGCTTCATTATCAGTTTGAAGGGTCTCCACAGCTTCCACATAATCTTCACATGCACCTCCATTAGCTCTATCTGCTCCAGAAACCTTATCTAGATCATCAAGAAAGGGAAAAGAAATTCCCCACAATCCCTTTGCATTCTTAAATTTTTAGTAAGAATAAGAGGAATAACTTTAAAAGATAGAAAAAAACAAAAGAATTGAGGAAAGATGCTTGATTTTTTTGGAATGTGATGTACGCTTAAAGAAATATTCATATGTATGATAATGTGTGCTCAATTGAACCTAATCATTAATCAGACTCAATCCATATGTTCTTAGGAAAAGAACATTCCCTTTCATTTTTTAGAACATATATAGTAGGGGCATTATGAAAACATGAGCACATCACTTAACATTCTCTAGCAACAAGTATGTAGTGCAATTAGCATTTGAAGCTTGAAGGATATGAGCATTTTAAAAAAAGAACTCATCAGTATGAGTGTAAACTACAATCTATTAATGAAAAAAATGAAAACCCAAATAAACATATACTAAAAGCAAAAGTGAAATTCTTACTTTGAGAAATTCATCATAGGATTGTCTTTCGCACTTTATCATCTTGTTTGTGTCATCCCAAGAGAAGCCTGAAGTGCCAAACATCACCATTATCACATTATGCTTTTCCCTGAATTGTTTCACCTTGGATTCAATTTGAGTCGATGTCAATCCACACCCAGGAAATTTTTCATTCATCAATTTTTCTAGTTTTTGCAGGTATCCATTCTTGAAGTTTCCGTCTGCTTTCCACTTAGGATCTGTGCTTAACTCCATAAGAAGATGCACCAAACCCCACTCCTCATCTCTTGACCAAAATCATTTATTCTTACCTCTTCCACGCATGACTTTGTCATTTAAGCATTTAAGTTTTCAATATTTTCACTCGTTGGCAGGTTGCTTTGGAGGATGCTGCTGATTTGTGTGCTTTTGCACTGTCGGAAGTCATCACTGCGTATGTGGATATACAGAGACACCGGAATTGGTATGACTTGTCAGGAAATTGTTGACTGCCTTGGTACTATATCTCAAAGTGGAACAACAAAGTTTTTGAAAGCTTTGAAGCTGTTCTCTTGAGCATGATCATTTGCTGGTTCTACTATCACCGGCCTGTTGTTATCACATAACTAACTTTTAAGGAGACTTTTACGCTTTAATAGGATATCAAGGATGCAAGAGCTGACAATAACCTAATTGTGCATTTCGGTGTTGGATTCTGAAAGGGTATTTTTTTGTTAATATACTACTCTCTATGACTTTAACTTGTCTTAAATTTTTGGTGAAGTTTATTACTATTCATTTATGAAAACAGATTGAAGTCTCATCTAAGAGCCCAAAATCAGACCAACAATATGTTTGCGAAGGTGGGGGGGGGGGGCTTATTCTAGCACCTATTGCATTCAAGAGGAGACTGATCCAAGGCATAGCCTCGAGAAATAACAAAAATGTAAGCTCTTTTCCTTGCACCGTAATGTTTTTTCAAAGAAACTCTCTGTTCTAATTCTCGATGTGAATTTTTCAAAGTGTGCTTTGGGGAATGTGATGTGTATATTTACAACTTTTGTATTTTTCAATTGCCTTTCTATTTTTTCAAAGTTTCACTCCACCAGTCACACTTTCTCATGCACAGGACTTTGATATGTTTTGGGAAAACTTTGGCAATTACCTTAAAATAGGTTGCCTTGATCATCGCGGTAGCCACAAATGTCTTGCCCGTTTGCTAAGATTTTTCTCTTCTCAAGGTGAGGAGTATACAATCAGCCTTGATGAATATGTAGAGAACATGAAGCCAGATCAGAAGGAAATATTTTATATTGTTTACGACAGTGTAGTAGTTGCCATGAACACTCCCTTCTTGGAAAAGCTAATTGAGAAAGACCTTGAAGACTTGAAGTATGGGATTTGTGAAACACATTATGTTGGTCTCTTACCCGTTGATACCACAACTTGAATGCCATTTTTTCTCTTTTATGCAGGTCCTCTTCTTAGTTGATCATGTTGATGAACTTGTAATCCAGCAGCTCAAGTCCTATAAGGAAAAAGAGTTTGTTGATATTAGGAAAGAGGATCTTGATCTAGGTTAGATATCCAAATTCATCAATTTATGCTTAGAATTTACTTAAGTTACAATATTACGTAGTACTTGTTGGGAACTTAGGAATTTAAAAATTTTCTGTAGTGAGAGATTTGTTAAGTCAATATCCTGAGCTATATATATATATATATATATATATATATATATATATATATATATATATATATATATTGAGATTCGTATACTTAGATAATTAGATGATGTAATTATAAAATTCCAATGAATCGGGATATGTTATAGTCAGAAAACAATAATATATCCACAAAGTTGTTATATATCAATATAACTTATCAGTCTTTTAGTTACCCCATCCAATTCTATATTAACTTCCTGTTCTGACTTTACACGTAAAATAAAAAAAATTAAATTGTTTTGACTTTTCGTATTTGTCTTTAAGTCATTGCAAAATATGAAATAAAGTGTAGGTATAGATGGTAATAAATGAGTAAAGGCAAGGTTAGTAGTGTGATTTAAAGAAAAATCATTTACTACACATAGAAATAGGAATATAGTTTATGGGCGAAAAAAATTTAAAGAAAAGCGTAAAGAAAAAATATGGACGTAGAAAGTTTTTAACAAACTTGTGCATATTCTGTTTCTGAGTCTACATACCACTTTTCTTAAAAGTGTTTCTCTGAGCTAGTTGGTGTTCATTGACTTATTGTTGATAAGTACTTCTTTCGTTCCTGAGTATTTGTCCAGTTTTGATTTTTTTTTCAATCAAAATTCTTAAATTTTTACTTCAAACTTAATAAAAAATAATATTTGATATTGATTCAGAAATAGTTTTATTAGATTTATTATACGAAATATTTTAAAAATGTTATTCTATCTGATTAATTTACAATATACGTAGTATATTAGGGTCTTAAGTTGGGAACGTTTGATTGAAAAATTCAAAACTTAACAAATATTTAAGGACTTAGGTAGTAGTTTTGACTTATAAAAGGTTTATAAGTTAAATATTTTTTTCATTGGAGTATAATAGTAACTTAATTGTTAGACAATTCATTTGTAATATTTATAAGTGGTGAGGAATAGTTTTGTAATTAATCTGATTAAAACTGAGAAACAAAATAATTGACTTAAAAATAAGTGGTTAAGACATACTTATTTTTAAATTTATAAGTAGCATATAAGTCTGTTCATAAGAACACAAAAACTGACTTATAAGTTAAAAATTGCTTATAAGCAGTTTTGTATATAGAAATCATCTTAAATAGGACTAAAACATAGAGAAAGTACCAAAATAGGACTTTCATGTTTTGTTTCCGGAATAGGACTTTGCGTTGTGGTAATGCGACTTTGCATTGTGGTAATGTGGCAGTGTACATGTGCAAATTACTATGCTTTTTTGGGAATGTATATGACCATGTTTGGTAATGTAAGTCCTATTTCGAGAATAAAAAACATGAAAGTCTTATTTTGCTATATTGTCAATGTTTTAGTCCTAGTTTGGTTTTTCTCTCTTTTGTATAGGTTATAAGTAGAGATAGTCAGAAAACCCACCGGCTAATAATCCACACTCATTTAATATACATACCTCACTAATAATCACAGCGCCCCCTTGTCAATTGCATTCTTCCACGAGCGATAGGGGGAAAACCCACCGGCTCTCTGAAGTCTCTGTGTTGTCTCCTTAAAAATTATTTTGTCAAAATGTTAATTTTTTCTAATGGAGGGAGTAATTTTTAATGGGCAGTATACAATAAAAAATCTTTGAGTAATTTAAATAGGACTAAAACACTTTCCCATTTCCCAGTATCTTTATCAACTCACAAATTACAATCCAAGCCGCTACTCCCGCCAGAAACCCTAGTCTCTTCTTCATCGCTTCGCTTTCTTCGATTAATCATCGTCTTCTTCGTATCTCTTGCTTCGCTCTGGTATGTTCCATTTGAGCTATGAATGTATCGGTAGAATGTGTTCAAATTTCTTCTTTTGGATGAATATGCCCTTTTCAATTTACTGTTTGCACTTTATTTTTATCGGAGTGTTCTCCCATTATCAGGATGCATTCTAATCTATGTGATCATAGTTTAATGATTTTCATATACTCGTGTGTGGGTGTGTATTTATATGACTCTTTTAGGAGTCATTTGGTGAGTTTTGGAAATATGACATGAGTTTGAAAATCTAGAAGAAATGATATGAGTTTAGGAATCTCAAACAAAAGTGTTTGGAGAAAATGAAAATTAAAATCTTCTCTCTTGAATGCGGATGACCCCTCTAAAAATTCAAGAGTTTAAAGGTTGAGAAATTAACATGAATACGAATCGTGATGCTAAAAAGTAACATTATTTAAGAAACAGTTTAAAGAAAATGAATGAAGAGATGAGGATGGTGAGAAAAGAGATGTTAAGCGGAGAAAAGAAAGGATATCAAGAGCTCTGCATTTCATATCACCATTATGTTGCCAATTTGGAGTAGCTGACTCACATATCTTTTAAATTTTAAATCTAAATTCTTATTTATTTCTCACCACACACCTTTTTTTAAAAATTTGACATCTCTAATATAAAGATCCATATTTGGGTTGCTCACGAAACGGGCCCTTTATAATTTTTGACTAGTATAACTATTAAATACATCTGCCTAAAAAAGTGGAAACAATTGAGAAGTAATTTTCCTACACTAAAAAGTACGGAGTAAATGTCAAGAATTTTATTTTTATTAGAATTTTGTTATAAATTGCTTTTTCAATGATGCCTTTCAAATTTTTAAGCTCATAAATTTTGTGTGATGATTTGTAATTAATTTTTCATTATAATTTTATCGGCTGAAGACCTGTTGTTGAAGTAATACTTAGAACTAGAGTGCAGGGGAGAACTCATAAAGAGCTTGAGTGCAAAGTGTAGTTCTTGAATATTTGACTATAATTCATGAAATTTGTACCCTTTTTTGCCTATGTTATTGTTATTAATATGATACTTTAATGTGACTATTAGAGCTTTTGTTTTGGTGTAATTTTGAGAATTTCAATGCCCGATCTTCTTTTTAATAATCTGGAAACCAGTGGTTTTGAATTTAATAGTTTTGTCTTATCCCGTAATTTTTTAAGGTAAACCAACACTTGTATTTATGCAACATAAAAAACAATTAAACAAGTCAGTCTATAAGTTTTTTAAATATGGATTATTTTCAAATTGTGCTGAATAGAATACAAATTGTGTTTAAGATTTGAATAAATAATGACTATGAATTCAAATATTTTGAAAAAAGTCGAATACGAATCAAATACAGTGATATTTGATTTGATTCGATTCATATACATCCCTAAGTGCAACGGCTTAATTTCTCTCTCAAATCTTCAACAGGAAGAAGTGAACGGGAAAAATCATCATCCCTAATGTATTACTTTGGACTCAATCGATTGGTCTTAGGGCTACGTTTCCGTTCGGCAGTGCTGCGATGCGGATGGAATTGCTACTGCCAGACAAACATCTACAGTCCAATAAGATTAATGGGTATGCACACTATAAGCCCAGTTAATCCTGAGATCGTGATAACCTCCAAGCCAGACGATTGGGTTACACGGGATGCTTCGGGGTTCGACCTCAACAACAAGATCATAGACGAACATCATGAGGGTGAGTGGTTCTCTAAAGATCACCAGGTATGCTTCTGTCCTATTTGAGATTCAATCTCCATGCTATGCTACTTTATGGTTTACATAGGGCCCGCTTTTTTTGGAGAAAATCCTAGAAAATTCTTACTCCTGCTGCCTCATCCCGTCCCCAGTCCACTCACCACACATTGTCACCTTCAAGTTATGTTTCCACATAAAAACATTAGCTCCTTTTTTGAGAACAAACATTAAGGGGCTGTTTGTTTCAGCCTCTTAATGGTTCAGATGTCTGAATAGTTCAGCACTTAATGATTTGGTTCAGACTTTGTTTCAGCCTCTTAATGGTTCAGATGTCTGAATGGCTCAGACATTTGCCTCTGAATGGTTAAGTATTATACAGAGTCTAAATGGTTAAGACCTCTTATCTGAATTGATCAGACATTTGCCTCTGAATAGTTAAGCAATATACTAGCTCTTAATGGCTCAGACCTCTTATTGGTTCAGCACTTAATGGTTCAGACCTCTTACTGGTAAGCACTTACCTATTCAGAAGTTGCAAAACAGCCCTAAGATAAAGCCATTATTACATATATCACTCATCATTGTACACGAAGTATATTATTAAAGTGGGATAGAAAAGAACATTCTTTAACCATGTTGTGATAAAAATAATTTTGTACTCTCTCATTCATAAAGCCATCAATGAAATGGATGGAGAGCTTGTGGGCACAAATTGGCTTGATAAGGAAATTGATGTCAAGTCTATGCTAGATGATTGGGTTGATTTTAAGGAGGAGGCTTCGGCGGGGTACCTCAAGAGGATCATAAGGAGACTTCGCAAGGATGGGCGGTTCTCTCTAGCTCTAAAGGTAAGTTCTTCCCTATTTCATATTCAATCTTGTTGCTGCTATATTGTGAGGTGGTGCTGTGGGTGCTAGATTGAGGTGATTACGCCCAATGTGAAGATGCGAGAGGCTTTTGTTGGTGGGGAAGTAGGGGAAGGAGTAGACATATGAAGATTTGGAAGGAAGTGATTAAACAAGGCTTAGGACTTCTTGCAGTTACTGAGGATATCCTTTGATAAGTGTGTTTGGAGAGCTATGATTAGAGTAGTTCGATAGGTGCCTTGGGCTAAGGGGTAGTTTCCTATTTGTCGTATGCTTTGTATGCCTTGTATGCTTGGTGCTCTGTGATTATATTCTTTGTTAGTTCTAGTTTATTTTGTCTATGTGTGCTATGTACTTTCTCTACTTTATGTATCCCCTATGATTGTTTTATTTATGAAGCTTGAGCGAGGGTCTCTTGGAAATAACCTCTCTACTTCTGAGTAAGGGCAAGGTTTGCATAAAGACACCCTCCCCAGACCATACTCTCGTGGGATTTAACTGGGTTGTTGTTGTGTGCTATTATACTGTTTAATTAGATTACAAGGAACTTGAGGCTTTTTGGGGCAGCTCATTTTGCCACAACTATGCATAAAAATTGCAACACAGTACAGAGTACTTTTTCAGCCACATTAAGGGCTTTTTTCTTTCACTGATGTGATCTGTTATAATATGAATTTGTTAATGTCTGAGCTGAATCATTCTCATCGATCTGAATGGATTTGATCTCAATCTTTCACATCAAATATTAATGGATGTGATTCAAATTAAACTTATAATTATTGCAAGAATTCTATTATCATTTAGCTTTATTTACTCCTATTTTAAATTATACGTAGTACTTGTTAGGATGGTTGCTCTTATACTCCATCCCATTTAAAAGTCTATACTTGCTTTTTACACAGTCAAACTATTTCTTTCTTTTTGTCTATTTTCATCTATCATTTGATGATAAAATAATACTCCATTTGTCCCTCAAAGATATGCCTACTTTCCTTTTCCATCTGTCCCAAAATAATTTTCTCACTTTGACTTTTTCACATTTTAGAAAACAATAAGTGATCCAAATTTCCTCTCTTCCAAACAACTTTCAACCATACACTTCTCACTTTTTAACATCTTTTTAACAATTTTTCTAATATTTTTGAAAAGTAAATATATACTACCTCCGTCCTATTGTCTTTGTCCAGTTTTGACTTTTGGAACTGTTCATCTAAGCACTTTGACTCATCAAATTCTCTCAATGTGTAAGGCTAAAAATAGTCATGTGTGATCTTGTTTGATTCGTCTTAACATATAGATTATTAATATATAATTTTTATAATTTTTTAATATACAAATTACAAGATAAAATGGATTAAAGAAGTGCATTGGATGGTGTGCCAAAAGGTAAGTGGACAAAGACAATGGGACGAGGGAGTAAATCTTTGCGGGATGGAGGGAGTATAGTCATGACATCTCTTGTTGTAGATGTTTTGATTAGTTTTCAAATATGCTCTCTCCGTCTAAATTTAAATTGTCTATTTTGGTTTACAATGTTTGACTAATATTATTTTAAGTTCGTTTTATATGAAAATTGGTGTAGAATTTAAAACTAAAATTTATATACGGAGTATTTAAAAACTATATTTAAAGTTCTACAAAACAAGAGGTGACATGACTTTTTTTTCATTAAACGAGTACCAAAAATGGGTAATAAAATTGAGTAAAGTTTGACTATGTGAATACTGAACCAACTTAAATTGGGATAAAGTATAAATTTTAATTTTTAATTATATACCAATCTTTCTATTTTTATATAATAGCTACAACCCAATTGGATCCCGCGAGAGTAACGTAATCTTTATACAAACTAAATTGAATATGACATGGTCAAACATCGTAACACGTACAATAAACTTTTAAATGGGATGAAGGGTTCCTCAAAAGAAAATGGGGTGGAGGAATTATTATTTAATTATGCAGTAATATTTAATATAAGTTCAAGTTAAAAGATTATTACTAGAATTGACAAAAGATAATGACTAAATAAAAATTAGTATCAACTTTTTTCCAATTCTTACAATATTGGACTATTAATAATTTCAAAATAAAGATAATGATGTGACATTCATACCATTTCGTTGCCTAGCCCAGAGTCCCAGACACCCCAGCTGCAGTTGCTGCTGCGATAAGACTCCAAGAAAGTTGAGTGGGGAATGAGAATCCTCGCTGCCTGCGAGTTTGCGTTACAGAGGAGTCTCCAAACTTGTTTGGCAAGCATTGCCATGTTAAAGACATCAAGTCTTTGGAAGCCCAAACTGCTCACAAATTTAGGTTTACAGAGGGCATCCCAGCTATTCTAATGAATTTTGTACCCATTCCACTGCCACGCCACCAAAACATTGAAAACATGCTGTGATGAGAGTTGATTATTGTTGTTGGGAAGCAGTAAAGGCTCAGTAGGAGTGATGGGATAGCTTGAGAAACAACCTTCGGGAGGACTTCTTTCCCTGCCTGTGAGTGGAAGGCAAAGTTCTTTTTGTCTTCACCGGTGTTGAATCTCCATTCACTGCTTTTGGCGTCCCTCCCAATGACGGCCTACTCCAGTCGTAATTGCTGCTCTACTTGAAACGACCAAGAAGCTCTGCCAAGGCCCGATTGTGGGGCATCACTTAAGAGACTCGATTTCGAGATTGTCCGCGACCGCCACTGAATTCATTCTGACCAAGAAGCTTTGCCAGGACCTCTGTGACACTCGTCCTTCTGCTGATCGTGAGATCCTCACAAGCTTCGAACTTGATCGGTCAATCATCCGGGTCATAAGGATAGGATGTTTGTCCAGTCCTTGGCAAGTTTCAAGTTGATTCTCTTGCAATCTACTTTTCTCCAAACCCTTGAGGTAGTTCCTAGTCACTAGACTCAAAGACACCGACCGGCAACAAACGGAAGAAAGGGTGGCTTGGTATGTAAAGATGTTTTATAGGCAACTGGCCTTCTTTCTAAAGAGAAATTTACATAGAAATCGACTGATAAAAGGTGATTGTGGCTAGCTCTCCTGTAGCTATTCCGTACAAGGCAAGGGCCATGAAAAAGGCAAATTTGAATGATGAGATGGTCGCCAACGTGGCCAATCTTGAGGTGAGCCTGGCCTCTGCTGTGGAGGAAACCGACTGCAAGGGAGAGGAAGGTGCCATGGAGAGGGAGGACACAACTTCCACCTTTAAGGCATCTCTAGCCTTCGAGGAGGCTGCAATGGAGAAGATGGCAGAGCTCGTTCCACTCTGGGCCGAGACAGAGGAAGGTGCACGCTCGGTTACTGCTGAAGAGAGGTTTTGCCTAACTAGGGGATATTAACTGCCCAACAAATCTTTTACCAAAAAGTTTCTGAGGCCGACCCCTCTGTCTCCCTAGAAGCCTTGGCTGTTACCAATCAAAATATTCTCAATTATATTTTCAGTATACACACATTGATACACATGTGAAGTATATAAGATTCAGTCAAGCACCGAGTGACTCCACCATCAGGAGAAAATGTAGATTGATTAAAAAGAAGTATAAATTTGACAATGTGGGTTGATTAAAAATATGTTAAGGAAGAAGCATAAAAAGAAATCAAAGCATGGATCCCATTTTGAAGTGGACTCTACACATGTATCTGATGGCAACATATAAAAGCCTTAACAACCAATTTCTCTCTAAGCTGTCTTGTGTACTAACATTCTAATTTATTCTAATTCATCATGGAACTACCTGTTAAGTTGTAAATGTTCAGAGTGAAGTATTAAGCATGGTTGTTAAGTCGTTGCCTAGTTGACGACTAGTCACCAACTAGGCGTCTGGTCGTTTTGTAGAGAGCGACTTGAGTATCGCCTAGCAACTTAAGGTGACTAGTCGTCCAAAGTGATGCCTAGGTGACGACTAGTCGATGATTGAAACCCTACCCAATTTGACCCGACCCTACCCGACCCAATTTTCATTAAATTTAAAGAATAGAAGGCTTCGCTCACTTGATCTGTACATGGCGAGAGTCACTTACCCTTTTCAATGTCTCTCTCTCATTGTCATAGCCCATCGATGGCATACGTCACTACTATTGATTCTTATGTACCCTTCATCATGTGACTTTATTTGCTACCTTTAAACATAATTTTGTTTTACTAATGATATTTCATCATATAAATATATATATTTATAGTTATCTTTGGTGAATGAAGATATATATAATGTTAAAATTTTCAATACTAATCGTGATTTTTTGACTAGTCCACTAGTCTTCTCTTTTTATCGACTCCATTCGACTTGTTGCCCTGATAACAATGGTAATAAGCTGTTCTTAGGAATTACAACAACACCAACAATAACAAGCCAGTAATCCCACACGACTTTCAATGATAGACATGACTTTCTCTTAGAAAATTTGTGTTCTTGTGTCAAACATTGAATGTATTGTGGGAGTGTAAAATTGTCACAAATTGTTCTATATAAATTTTGTCACAAGAAGCTTTCTGTAGTGCTTAATTTATTAGAGAGTAGTTAGAATCATCTTTATTTCAGAATTCGACTATGGTGTAAAATTTGAATTGTGCATCTTGATTTCTTTTGTTTCAAAGCTTTTGAGCCAAAGATTCACTATTTTTTTGGCTTTGGAGTATGATAGAAGCGAAATGGCTCTCTACCCTTCTTTTAATAGTGAAATAGCTCGTAGTCAAAGCAACATTCAAAGCTCATGGTTCATTTGGAAACTACCTCTCTATGTTTTAAACTTAGAGGTCAGGCTGCGTACATCTGATACCCCTTACATCGCAATTGGCACTTGGTTAATGTTGTTTCTCGTACAGGGAATTCAGGGCAATGGAATATTATCATTCTTTTTATTTTGTGTATAATGAAAGAAGTCTAATCTTTATTGCATGTTGCCTTTGATATTCAAGTTTGAATCTAGTGTCGCTGTGTCAGTTAAGTGATGGTCTATCTGAATTACTGGTATTGTTATCAAAGTAGATGGAATGATTTTTAATCATAGTGGTCAAGATGTCGCCTAGGTGTTCTGATGCATTGCTCTTCTCACTATGGAGGATCGACTCGCCTAATTATGCCTTCCTCGCCTAGGCGTCCTTTGGTGGACGACTTGGCATTCTCGTTCGGAATTGCAGACGACGTGTGTTGTCGCAACTCGCACGGAATTGTGGACGACTAGATGCCATGATTTTGGGAAGCAATGCGCTTCTTTCAATCAATTACATCACAAGTACCTTAGGATGCGACTACTCTGCCACGCTCCTCTCTTACTGTCGCTGGAAGGGGTCATTGGGGACTCAGTCCCTCGCAAATCTTCACTCTGTGAGTAGTTTGATTTCTGAGTCGATCTAGACTCTCTAGCCCTCGATAGAAAGTGTGTTATACAGATTAAATATCTTTTTTATTTTTTTTTTGAAAATGCTTTATTTATTTTATTTTTTTTGAAAGTAAAATGCTTTAGAGCAATGGAAATGTTCTTGACGCTGGGGGGTGCCATGGGGCGTTTAACGCCTCCTCGCCGTTAAACACTGCCCCCCTTCGGGATTCATCCGGGCGTCATTGCCTTGAATCAAACGTTTAACGCACAGTGGCGTTGATCCCCCCAACGGCTATTTTAGCCGTTACACCCCCCAAAAGAATCTCTAATTTTTTTTAAATATCAAATCCCAATTCTCAATGTTCTTCACATCTTTCCTTTCTTCAATCTCCAATCCTCAATCTTCTTCACATCTTTCCTTTCTTCAATTTTTGTTAACATGAATCTCTCTGGTTCTCCCCCCCGATTGTCTTGAGCCAAACGAGTACGCGATTTGTACTCTTTTTTCAAGTGCATACTTTTTTTAATAGTTAATTTGTGTATAAAATTTTTGTAGAGTTCTTTTCTTCATATTCTGGTATGTTTAATTATTTTAAATGTGTATTTGATATATTTAGAAAGCACTTAAGGCTGAACTGTCAAAATTTAAACTTTATCTACTACAACAGATGCATTCTGTAATTCTGATAGCATTTTGCTTGTGCTGTTATAATGTTGTACATTTTGCAGGTTTATGAATGGATGAGAAATAAAGGTATTTATAAATTCTCGTGTACTGACCATGCTGTCCTGATAAATTTGATTTGGAGGGTTCGAGGATTTTCTGCCGCGGAGCGCCATGTGAGGCACTTGCCAAAACAAGCTAGAAATGACAAGACATATGGAGAACTCCTTCATTGTTATGTGCATGAAAACAGAACAGGAGAGGCTTTATTGCATTTTCAGAAGATGAAAGAGTTGGGTTTTGCGTTGTCACTTCGCCCTTTCAATGAAATCATGCGCCTTTACGCCAATAGTCTCCAAATTGAGAAGGTCCTTGGGGTGTTAGCCGAGATGAAGAAGAGCAAGGTTTCACCTGATAATGATAGTTACAGAATCTGCATTAGCTCATTTGGGATGAATCACGATGTAGATGGGATGGAGAGAATGCTGAGAGAAATGGAGAGTCAACCCCACATATCCATGGACTGGTGTACTTACGCCGTGGTAGCCCAGTTCTATGATAGAGAATTCCTTGTAGATAAGGCCAGTGATGCTCTTGAAAAGGCAAGGGTAATATTACAAAAGAAGGATAATAGAAGGAAAAGCCCCAATTATCTGCTAGAAAGTGATTATGAGAATGTGATAAAGTCACTGGTGAAGCTTGGTGAGTTTGATGAGGCTATGAAGTTAGTCAAGGAGTGGGAAGTACTCGGTAATTGGTGCAGCGTGATTGATATTCGCATTCCTTACCCAATTATTGAGGAGTACATAAAAAATGGTGCATTAGGGAAGGCATCTAGTATATTCTTTGAGTGGGCTGACAAGGGGAAGAAGGGCGTCGACAAGCTTTCACGTTTACTTTGCAGAGAATACCTTAAAGCGGATGAACTATTTCAAGCATATAACTGCTTTCTGGGATGTGATCATAATTGTGGGCCTCAATTGATTCAGATGATGTTTCTCCAATACCTGGAAGAAGCATGTGGGTCATTTTTCCCCTTATACTGCGGTGCATCATTGTGCTCTAGATCATTTAGAACTGATGATGGCAAAACAATCTTAGAACTCATTCCAGTCGATGCAAGATACAAACTCAAAGTCGCTTTGTTGGTACATCCAGAGGACTCAGCGGCCCAAGCAGTTAATATGGATTATGAGAACATTATAAGGTCACTTGTGGAGTGGGGCGAGTTGAACGAGGCCAGGAAGATGGCAAGAGAGTGGGAATCATTTGGCAACTTGTCTAGTCTTGACGATTTAAACATTTCCAAGCTGATCATCGAGGGATATTGTAGGCAGGGTATGTTTATTGAAGCAGAGGGGTTGGCAGAAGCTTGGACAAGAGAGAAGAAGTGTTGGGCTGGAGGGATTTGGTTCGTACTTGCTGATCATTACCAGGAACAGGGTAAACTGGTCAGAGGATTTGAGTGCATGAGGAGATTTTGGGACTTCACCCCGTGGCTCGAAGGCTCTTTCGAGTTTGAAATGTTTTTGTTTATGATTGACTATTCAAGAGGCATGGGTGCCTCACTAGGGCACTTGGGGCGGGATGAAATGGATACTTTCTTTTACTTGTATGACATGTTATGTCCGACCAAAGATGAGTATCCCCCACCCCAAAATTATTAGAGGTCGTTCCCATAACATTGGGAACCAATGTTATTGGATGACCCGGGAGTGTTATGGTGCCCTGTTCGTAAAATTGATGGTTCCTACCTTTCCGGTAAATGTCCTACCCCGTCCCGGCTCAAAGTTTGCTTGTGGTGCTCCACATTTTTTATTTTTACACAAATGGGCCAATATTGCCCTTTAATAGTTATGTTAGCTCTTGTGCTCCTTTTGACATCTGACTGATCTGAGTGATTCTGGCTTCTTATTACGGAGTATTAATTAATTCATCAACATATATACTACCTCTCTCCATTACTCCCTCCGTCCGGAAATAAAGTTTACGTTTCTCCTTTTTCTCCGTCCGAAAATAAAGTTTACATTTCTAATTTTAACCTATACTCTTCCAAAAATACCCCTCTACCTTTCTTTCTTTTCTTATTTTCCCCCACCATTCCTTTTTCTCCACCGCACCTCTCTCCTTATCTTCATTCTCTCTTATCCTCACTCTTTCTTCTCTCTTTTCCTTCTCCTCCCAGCGCCCCATTTTTTTCTTTTCTTTTTTTCTTCTTTCTCTTTGTGTAGATCTGACTTCTTCTTCCTCATCATCCTTCTCTATCTTTCTTCTAGATCTAAACAGATCTGTAATCTCACCGAGATGGGGGATGGCGGCGAAAGTGCTAGCAGTGATGGAGAGCCGGCGGTGACAGAGTTCTGGCGGAGATGGTGGAATTAGCAGCGGTGGTAGGCTTGTTGTTGTGATAAGGGACGAATCGGAGGCGATGGGGGGCAGACCTGGCGGTGACGACTGAAGTGTTGTGGCAGTGGTGTTGAAACTAATGATTGTGGTGGGGATGGCCAGGAAGGGAGGCTGCCAGAGACAGGGTGCGGACGGGGGGATTAGCGGCAAAGGGGTTGCAGAAATTAGTGGTGTGGTGAAGCTAGACATTGGAAGGGTATTTTGGACTGATTCACCTTAGAGTCAACCATCAGTAAAAATGACCAAAAGTCAAAACGTAAACATTAATACCGGACGAGGGGTTATTTATCCTGTTTTGATTTATCTAAACCAAAATTGATAAAATTTGACCATTGATTCTACCCCGTATAAAATTTATACGGAGTATCAGATATTGATACAAACATATTTTATTAAAATTCATGTTATTAAATATCTTCAAAGTATTATTTAATTAAATTAATATATCATGTAATTTTTATTTAATCATAACTTAAAAGTCAATCATGATTGATAGACGAATTTAAAACTGGATAAATACTCAACGACAGATGTAGTATAAGACAACAAATAACATTTATTCTAGGTTTATTTAGTCTATGAAATTACATAATCTTTTATTTGTATATGCCCTAAAAAATTGATCACTCTTTATCTTTCTTTTTTTAGAATATATATATAGTCCGAATTTATTTCGCTCTCTTCTTAAAACATCAATCATTTACTTTTTAATCTTTAACATTTTTTCAATATCATTCCTACAATTTTTTAATTCCCGAAAAGATAAAATGGATGGTTTTAATACGACGCGAAGAGTATTATTATTATTATTATTATTATTATTATTATTATTATTATTATTATTATTATTATTATACTCCCTCGTCCCCAATTTTATTACAAATTAGGGTTTACGAGGATAAATATTAGGGGTGGGCAAAAAACCGAATTAGCATGGTACCGTACCTGACCGTAATGGTACCGAACCGTTTATAGTATTTTCAAATGGGATTGATTTTTTTTCATCACGAACCGAAACCGAACCGATACTAAATGGGACGGGACCGTGATACAAATATTTAAAACCGAATATCACGGACCGAACCGCCAACGCTCTATACGGAGTACATATCTCAAATAATTATGGAGTATGTGTCTACTTCATCTTACCGTGTATAGAGTACTTCGTATTTTATTATTCAGTTTTAAACTCTTTCATTATTATTGTTGTTATTATATTTATTATTACTATTGGCATTATTTTTTATAGTTATTAGTATTCCGATATTATATTAATTGGAAAAAAAATTATTTTTTAACTTTGGACTCGTTATCTTTTATTTCTTTATGTTTATGTTTCGTTTAAATTTGTGATCAATACTTTTATTTAACATTCTTGTACTTTTTTATACTCCGGTACATATTTATACATTAAATTCAATATTCTTTACGTAATGTACATTCATTTTTTTGGCACGGTTTGAGCATGGGTATGGTATTGTACCGTTCCGTTTCAAAACGGAATGGTACCGAATGGTTTTGGAGTTAATCTCGTACCGATACCGAACCGTTTAAATAATAGCGGTCCGTGATAGATTCCGGTAGTATCACGGACCATCACGGACCGCGCCCACCCCTAATAAATATCTCACTTTTTGAAATTATTTTATTTACAAATTGGTATATCGATAAGAAATAAAAATTACATATTAAAAAACTACGTAAAAAGTTCTACAAAATAAGAGGTGGCAAGAATATTTTATTTTATCAAATAGTTATTGAAATCGCGTAAATAAAAAAAGTTATCGAGACGAGAGAAAAAAATTGTAATCAAATTGGGGACAGAAGGAGTAACAATAATGCAAGTATTATTTCAAATGACTACAAAAAGTTTAAACTAGACAAAGACTCTGTGACAGAGAAAGTAAGTAATATTTAATCATATGTATTATTATTATATTAACTGTTAATAATATTAGAATAGTAATTGATATTTAATTGTATGAAACATTAAAAATGTAACTTCATTTAACCGTATAACAAGTAGTATTATTTTATCATAGACAATATTATAGAGAAACATTAATTTTTAATATTTTTCTAGATTGATATAATCAAGATAGATCTAATCTCATCATTTGATCTGAAAAAAATAAGTAAACAATAAAAATATAAGTTGAATAAAACATAGTCTGTGTATATAATTTTTAATTACATAATTTTTAATTTGTAATATCAAAATGCTATTTAAATAAATTAAAAATAAATTCAATCAACTTTTAAAATCTAAAGTTAGTTTTAGAATAAATAGATTATACAATTTTTTTTGAAAAAAGTAAAAAAGTAAATAGATGGGAGGAATGGGGCTTAAGTGATAAACATTATGGGGTAAAATGAAAATGGGAATTCATAGGAAGGACAATATTGTCCACCTTTAAAATAAATTAAAAAGTGGAGCGTAGCTAGGGGTGGGCGTGGTCCGTGATACTACCGGAACCTATCACGGACCGCTATTATTTAAACGGTTCGGTATTGGTACGGGATGAACTCCAAAACCATTCGGTACCATTCCGTTTTGAAACGGTACGGTACAATACCATACCCATGCTCAAACCGTGCCAAGAAAATGAACGTACATTACGTAAAGAATATTGAATTTAATGTATAAATATGTACCGGAGTATAAAAAAGTACAAGAATGTTAAATAAAAGTATTGATCTCGAATTTAAACGAAACATAAACATAAATAAATAAAAGATAACGAGTCCAAAGTTATTTTTTTTCAATTCATATAATATCGGAATACTAATAGCTATAAAAAAATAATGCCAATAGTAATAATAAATATAATAACAACAATAATAATGAGAGAGTTTAAAAATGAATAATAAAATACGAAGTACTCTATACACGATAAGATGAAGTAGACACATACTCCATAATTATTTAAGATATGTACTCCGTATATACCGTTGGCGGTTCGGTCCGTGATAATCGGTTTTAAATATTTGTATCACGGTCCCGTCCCATTTGGTATCGGTTCGGTTTCGGTTCGTGATGAAAAAAATCAATCCCGTTTGAAAATACTATAAACGGTTCGGTACCATTACGGCCCGGTACTATACCATGCTAATTCGGTTTTTTTGCTCACCCCTAAGCGTAGCTAGCAATTTGTGGAGCTCAAATATCAATTCCGCTTTCAATTGCATCCCCAAGTTGATTTTGACACTGAAACCAAGGTGAAATTATTTTTAGGTCCGATGTTTTATTTTGACTTTTTTCCACCACTACAAGAAAATGCGAAAAAAATGACGGAATATAGCGATGGAATTCAATTCGACGCTAACGACGACGGATTGAACGACGGAATTTTACGCCTACCAAAATTAACGACGGAATCAGCATTCCGTCGCTCTGTATTGGCGGGAGTTAGTGCGCGGCATATTAGACGACGGAGGGATTTGAATAACTAATTTCATTTAATACAAAATACACAAATGGTATAGGAGGCGTCCAAAAATAGCCTCGATGACGAAGAAACCCTGCGAGCAATTGATCTTTTGTAAGACAATAATATATTATCGTGTGTACATGGGGTAAATTTATGCACTTGGCTACATGTGCCTCAAACAGAAGGATAAAGCTATTTGTACCCCATGTTTTGTACCCACTTTGTACTCCGTAGTTTTGCACCAACAATTTGTGTTGGTGTAAAACTAATTTTTGTTATTGCACCAACACTTTATGCCCGTGTAAATTTTTGTTAACATACCAACACTTATGTCGGTGTAAACCATCAAAATATTTGTGTATACTGCTGTGTACAAATGGGGTACAATTTGTGGTGTAAGTGTAGCATAACCCCAAACAGAAACCAGAGCAAAGCCACCCTCCCAAATCTACATCGGGTAAATTTTGGTAAGATGCTTTTATTTATACATCTAGGATTTGACTTTGATTATGAATAAGCTATGAGTAGAACTTCAGTATTTATGACACGAAAAAAATCGATTCAGAGGGAAAAAACAGAAAAAGTTGGAACAAAAATATCATTTGATTAGTTGATCTTCAAAACAAGAAATAAACGAAGTCTCTTAATTAAGTGAAAGAAGGAATATTTATGTCTCCACACTATTTTGATTGAGGGGCTGTTTGGCAACTTCTGAATGGGTAAGTGCTGAACCAGTAAGAGGTCTGAACCATTAAGAGCTAGTATATTGCTTAACTATTCAGAGGCAAATGTCTGATCAATTCAGATAACAGCTCTTAACCATTCAGACTCTGTATAATACTTAACCATTCAGAGGCAAATCTCTTAACCATTCAGACATCTGAACCATTAAGAGGCTGAAACAAACAGTCTGAACCATTAAGTGCTGAATCATTCAGACATCTGAACCATTAAGAGGCTGAAACAAACAGCCCCTGAGTCGGCACCTAATATTTAAGGATGGTAGAAGAGTGGATGAACGAGAGAGAATTATCATTTTCATTTTGACTGAGTCGGCACCTAATATCTATAGATGGTAAAAGAGTTGGAGTGAGAGAGAGAGACATGGGCGGAGGAAGGAGGGGCAAGTGCCCCGGCGAAATTCCGGCAAAATAAGATTAGGGTACCTATCGCGAGCGATGGGAGGCCGAATTTGCCCCCCCCATTTGTCCCGGCTTCCACTTCCAGTCATCTCTGGTCCGGCAGCCAAGACGAAACAATCAAGCAATAGCCGTATTTTCGCATATAAACCGTACGACGTCGTTTCTTGAAGGGTTTAAAAAATTTCTTTGGGCTTTGACCCAGCCCAACACTCCACAAAGCCCAATTGCCAAAAAAATTACGGGATACTTTAATTCCATTGATTTATTCGGCTGCCACAGAGCCCTGATCCAAACGAAGAAAGTACGAAACCAGAAGGTCACGATCGAAACTACTCTTCTTCATCGGAGCTCTTCTTCAGTTCTTCACAGGATCAATTTCTTCCATTTTGAGCTCTTCTTCTGAGCTTCTTCAGCTAATTTTCAGATCTTCTCTCATTGTCTAGGTATATGTAAATTTTAATTATCTAATTTCGAGATTTTTTCTTGATATTTGAAATTCTGAATATTGTTAAATTATGTTTTGAATTTTGAATATTTATTTTGTTCCGTGGACAGTAGTTCCAGTGTATTTGTTGATATTCAAATGTTTGATAAATATTAATGTAATTTCAACTTCTAGAGATTAAGATATATGAAATTGTTGCTTTAGGGTTATTGATTTTTTATTTTATTACTTTATTATTGAATCAGGAAATTTTCATACTTTATTATTGTTACTTTGTTGCTTTAGGGTTATTGTATTTTGTTACACACTTGATCAAAAGTTGGCATATCGAAAAAAATTTTTACGGCCTCAAAAAACTTTTACTCTTTTGCACAAATAGAAGGTACGTTTAGTTGCATTTTGTCAATTAAGGTAGTTACTATTATGAATTTTGTTTAGTTATTAAATGAATTTTTGCCCCCCATGAAATCTTCCTTGGCTCCACCACTGTGTGTGTGTGTATATATGTATATATATATATATACACATATATATGTATATATATATATGTATGTATATATATATGTATATATCTATGTATCTATGTATATATATACATATACATACTATACATTTATACATATACATGCTATACATATATACATATACATACTATACATATACATACTATACATATATACATATACATATATATACATATATATATATATAGCACACATATATTTATCACAATTACAGCGGTTAGGAAAAAAGACTGCTTTCCCCATCGCAAGATAAGTTGCGAAATATAGCCGGGCGACCCAATTTGATGATTACAATGGGTTACGTTGGACTGAAGCGATTGGGGGTAGGGCTGCGTTTCCAGTGGAACAGGGCAGCGCGATGGGGATGGAATCGCCACTGCCATACGAACATATCCTATCCAAACCTCAGTGCCAAGCCTACACCAGAGGGGCGGCGGATCTATGAAGCTGACGAGGTACCTTCTCCCCCATCACATATTCAAAGCATCTTTTTCAATGTTAATTTATAATTGAGTGGAGTTCCGTCTTGCCAACTGTGCCATTAGTAGTGTTGTTGTATAGTTGGAATACCTAAAATTGATGGATCTTACCCCAACCCACCCCTAAATCCCACCCTAGCCCCTCCACACCTCTGCACTAAGAGCACCCTAGGCTTCAAACCTTCAGCTTTAAGCTACTTCATAGTTTCAGCAGAAATGCGAGGCTTCAAATTAGGGCTTCAGACCTTCAGTTTTTACATTTTAAAATACACATCTTCTAAAATTAAATTAATAGAATTAATTATTTAATTTTTAAAAGAATTGAAACAAGAGTAGTTCATTAAAAAAAGTACATTCATTTGAAAAATTACATTCATTAAATAAAAAAAATTACATTTATTAAATAAAAAAATTACATTCATGATAAAATAAATAAAATACTTGAATAATAAATTTTTAAAGAAAGATGATAGATAGAGATTTGTATTTGTGTTGAATTTTAAAAAATTGATTCAATTTATAGAGTAGGAAAGATGAAGAAAGAGACAAAAAGATTTTTTTATTTGTAACAGCATTATAGCCGTTATGGAGGAGGGGGGGTTCCAACGCCTTCAAGCCGCGTCAAAATTTGACGCAGCAACTTTAACGGGGCAATAACCTGGGAGGGGGCGGTGTTTAACGCCCCCTATGCGTCTAACTTGGCTTAACGCTGCTGGGCGCCATGCCCATTACCACTACTCTAAGCCCCCTCCTAATGTGCAACCACACTTGTGAAGGAAACATTTTGAGGGGGCTTAAAGCAAGGCTGCGGAGGGTAGGGAGGGGGTTTAGGAGTGGGTTAGGGGTATAAATCATCAATTTAGATTGAAGTATTGGAGGTGCTCCAAAAGAACAGCGGCACCTCTAATGGCACCATTGGCCAGTGTCAATGGAACGGTGTCCTTTATAAATATTAATAATTATTAGAGTATATAACAATCATTCCTGAGCCACAACCACAAGCTTGAGCTTTTGGTTGAATGAGTTTCTTGACATGGTATCGGAGCCTTGATGACCAAGATGTCACGAGTTCGAAACTCACCGCCGCCCAGTTTAAAAAAAAATTAAGGTTTCACGTGCAAGGCTCAAAGATATCACTCCTACATGTGAGGGGGTGTGTTAAAGTGTATAACAATCATTCCTGAGCCACAACCACAAGTTTGAGATTTTGGTTGAAAGGGTTCCTTGACAATAATCAAAGCTAATTTTTTAAGAAAATTTTTTCCTTCCTGCAAAACAACGTAAAATATGATTGGAAAATAATTTTCTTGGAAAAGTATGTTTATTTGGAAAATATATTCTTCTAGGAAAATATTCCCCACCGACCTATCACACACCCTTATTGAATTTCTACTTTCTTAGGGCATTTTCAAATGCTATTTTGGTGTGATCTAACTAGGTTGTTGTACTTTCTTAGAACATCTCCAATGAGGTTGTTAAAATGGGCTGCTGAAATGTTATTTTAGCAATCAAATAATGTGTTACAGATATTTTCTTTAGCAATCTCTCCCACCATGACATGTATACTATAGCTATCTCTCCAACCATGACATGTATACTATAGCTATCTCTCCAACCATGACATGTGTAGTTTTTATATCCGTTGATATTTTTACCCATCCAAAGACTGGTTATGTATAACAAGTGGTTGGTTAAAATAACCACTTTGCTATAGTTACCAATAATAAGTTGTTAAACTTGTTTTTTTAGCATTTAGCAACAACTTTAGAGATGCTATTAGTACTCCGGAGTAATAATGGACAATGATATTTTTCTCCTACATAAATTCTAGCCAAATTTATTTTTTCTCCTAAATAAGCTGTTCAACTTGCTTTTTTTTGAAGACATTTTTCTCATAAAATACTTCTTGATTTTTACATATCCTACCAATGGAATCGATGGGTGTGCAGACTATTCTTCCAGCTGATTATCAAAGCAATAACACCAAGCCTACACCGAAGCGGCAGATCTATGAATCTGACCAGGTAGCCTCTGCCCTATTACAGATATAATCTCATTCTCCATGCTGCAGCTTTATGGTTTAGTTCCTTTTTTTTTCTTAATATTGGAATTGACATTGGAACCCGGTTCCATTCGTTCGGCTGAGGGTAGTTCCTGACCCTAAAGGTTGGGGGATTGTTCATGCCATCCCCCTTCTGCCACCTCAATTTTGGGTGGGGGTTTATATGTGGATAGAAGGCTAAGAAACATCAATTAAAACCATAGATATCCCAAAACTTTAGTGGCACTGTAGTGTCAAATGCGGCCAGTGTCAAATGCGGCCACAGAACCACCCTTTTCCTTTCACATCTTGCCTAAGGGGGAAGAACGACATCACCTTCACCTCCCTCCCGCATCCCGCCTTAGGGTGGGGTGGTGGTGTTCTCGTTGAGACTTCTCATTTCTCGCTGTTCTGATGACCATGTCAACGTAACTGAGGGCTCGCTCAATTGGGTACCCGTTCAATTTTTCTTCTTGACGAATGTGGCTTTTTTACTTATACTGTCCGCCTCCGCTGGGGCTCACACTTTGGAAAGAATTACTTTACTTTTCTACACTCCCTTTGTCCCGGAGTATTTGTCCACTTTTGACTTTTCGAACTATTCATTTAAGTACTTTGACTCATCGAATTCTCTCAATGTGTAAACCTAAATACAGTCATGTGTATTTTGTTTGATTTGTCTTAACATATAGATTATTAATATATAAATTCTATAATTTTTTAATATACAAATTATAAGATAAAATGGATAAAAGAAGTGTATTGGATGATGTGTAAAATTGAAAGTGGACAAATATTCTGAGACGGAGGTAGTTTTTTTTAGCCAAGTTTACTTTTCAATATGTTTAGACATTTTTTCTCATAAAAAATCTTGATTTTACATAGTTTGCATCGTTAAGAGGTGAAAAGGTTAGAGATTTTTTTAGGCATATATTCTTTGGAAAAATATTTGAAATAATCTCAACTCAACAAAGTTGTCATGGCGCATGGCGGCATTCATGGCGATGGGCCAATATCATATGACGATGGCGCAAATATGGCGTCGCCCCAGGACACTAGTGCGTGTGTGTGTCCATATATATATATATATATATATATATATATATATATATATATATATATATATATATATATATAGTGGCTGGTTCAAGTGAGAATGCACCTTGGTGAAAGAAATAAGAATAAAATCTGGCCTTTGGATCTGATGCATCGTGCGGCTCAGATTGCATTCTGCATTCAAATTTTGAGATAGTGCATTTTCAAAGGATTATGGTGCATTTTGACATGATGCATTTTCAAACCATCTTGGTGCACCTAATTTTGATGCAATTCTAACCCTTAGATCTCCCAATCTAATGCACCAGATTCATTCTTATTTCTTTCATTAGATTGCATTCTCACCTGAACCAAAATCTATATATATATATATATATATATATATATATATATATACTCTTGAGTTGACACCTTACGGTGATATGACATGGTTCGGTCAGATGACACAAAACTCACTACTGGCCACTGCAAAGCTCACCAAAGACAACTACAAAACTCACCATATTTTTTCAACACTTTGATTTTTTTCAAAAAATAAAATCAAAGGAAGGGATGTTGACTGGACTTTGACTGTTGACCGCCATCATTGACCAACGCCGCCGCCAGTCACCGGCAGCCACCACCACCGCCGGTCGCTGTTCGCCGGTCGCCGTCGTCGTCGCCGGTATCTAGCCGCCGCTGCTGCTCTGCCTCTGTTGACTGGTGGTTGACCGGTATTGTTATTTTATTTTTAATTAATTTTTTAATTTTTAAAATTTTAAAAAAAGGTGAGTTTTGGGGTTTAAAGTGGTGAGCTTTGCTTTATTCCTAGGTGAGCTTTGCATTGTCCATTGGTGATCGTCTTCTGGTGAGCTTTGTCATCTCACCGTAAAGTATCATCTCACTGGAGTCAATCCCTATATATATATATATATATATATATATATATATATATATATATATATATATATATATATATATATATATATATATATAATAAGGGGAGGTGCATGGATTTCAAATTAAGTTTTGTTATGAATGAGAAGAATTTTACTCAATTCCAAATTTAAAATTTTAAAGTTTCTCAAACATGAAATTTGAACCAAATCCGAATTTAAAATCCAAATCCATGTTCCTAAACATACCATTACATCATTTCAATTTCCTAGAATTTAAATTCTAATTCAATTTCAATTTTGTGTATCAGATGGAGCTTACGAGTTTTTTTATTCATGTTGCCACAAATTAAAATTGTTACTCATATTTTACTTTCTCGTATAATGAAAGGAGGAAAAGTTGTCGTGGGAGTTTATTCCATATCACCTTGATGAGGAAAGGTTTGACGTCGGGTCTCTGCTAGACGAATGGGTTGTAGTTCATAATAATGAGGTTTCGGCGGGTGAGCTCAAGAGGATCCTTACCAAACTTCGTAAGGATGGGCGATTCTCTGTAGCTCTAAAGGTATGTTCCTTCTGCCTTATTTCATGGCACGTTTGATTAGACTGTGAATTCTTTTTTGAAAGGGCTAAAATTCACCATTGGTCCTTCAACTTTATGAGTTGTGCACAATTGGTCCTTCAATTTTCAAAAGCCCGTAAATAGTCCTTCAACTTTATGAGTCGTGCATGATTGGTCCTTCAAGTTTCAAAAGTTCATTAGTAGTCCTTTAGATACACGCCATCCCTCCATATGAACTTCTATTGACATTAAACGTTAAAAGCTAAATGAAGTATTAGTTTCATATAATAGTATAATACGAGAAAGTTGCACTAGGTACAACTACTCTGTGTTATATGGAGCTAGTATTTCATTTAGCTTTTAACGTTTATTGTTTAAAGGACTTCATCTGAAGGGCTTATGTGTACTTGAAGGACTACATATGGACTTTTGAAACTTGAAGGATCAATCGTGCATAATTCATAAAGTTGAAGGACTATTTATGAATTTTGAAACTTGAAGAACCAATCGTGCATAACTAATAAAGTTGAAGGACCAATAGTGGTGTTTAGTCTTTTCGAAAGCAAACGAAAATTATTTTCCCATTGATGGGAGAAAATGTTTCCTTTCCATACCATTAATGTTACCAAACATGGAAATTAGATCGTAATTTTCCAGAATCTTTTTCCCAAAAGCAAAGTGACCTTTATTTTAATTTAAATTAGTTATACTAAAAAACTTATATTAAACATTTCTTTAATGATAAATGTAAAAATAGATAATAAATATATTAAGAGAACATTTTTAACTAAATATTTTAATGAAAATGTTTATTTATTTGTTTTTTTTTGCACAGAAAACCTAACTTTCAATACCATCTCGAAAAACATATACAAGAAGTTTAAGAACTCCCTGTTACATCATCTTCCTATAAGTGATATAACTATGACTATAAGAGTAAACAATCGAGTAGCCTCCTCAAGAGTACCTAGCCCTTGTGAATTTTTCAAAATACTCTTACCCAAAATTGTCGTCTTTATTTAAATATTTAAGGGTAAATCATACAATTTTCTAAGAATTCAGGGGTATTTGGTGCACTTTTAAATCTTCAGGGGTAAAATGTACAATTTTTGAAGAATTCAGGGATCGATTACACTTTTTAATATTCATGGGTAAACTGTGCAATTTTTTAAAAATTTGGAGATAAACGGTGCACTTTCTCAATTTAAAAAATAGCTAACATCAAATTTTCTGTGGAGCATAAAATAATAAGTGATATATGTATATTACGGAGTATAAAGTATTTTATGAAATAAATAATAAATATTTAGAAAAAGAATATATCCTAACTCTATGCATAATAAACGAGGCAAGTAAAAAAAATGGAGAGAGGGTACTCGGTAACACTTTGACCATTTTTTAACGCAACACTGTGAAGAGTTTTTTGTTAAAAAAAAACAATGGGGCGATTTCAAAAAGTAGACAAAAACTTTTTTGCATGTTAAATTGTTAACTTTAATATTCAGGCTTGAATAGTTTGTCAGTTAAGTGTTGATCAATCTAAATTATTGGTACAGTTATGAGAGATATTAACAAGTAAATACTATACCACAACATCCAAGCGTTATCCCAATAGGTAGGGTCAGCTATATGGATCAAACGATGCCGTTGTGCCCTATCATTTATCATATTTGCAGATCATTAACGTGAAGGGGTCAAGGTGACCTGCGCGTGTAAGCTCTTGGTGGTGATATGATACATGATAAGTCGCAATGGCGTTGTTTATCCATGTAGCCAACCCCACCAAGTGGGATAAGTCTTGGTTGTTGTTGTTGTTGTATAGTTTCTGGAAGGATTTGAGATACATTATATTCCGATAGTGCATATCTTTCGTGGCAGGCTTTTGAATGGATGTGGAAGAAAGGTATTTATAAATTCTCATCTATGGACCATGCGGTCCATGCGAACTTGATTTATGAGGTTCGAGGATGTTCTGCCGCAGAGCACTATGTCAGGAACTTGCCAGAACAAGCTAGAAACGAGAGGACGTATGGTGAACTCCTGCATTGCTACGTGCATAAAGACAGAACAGAGAAGGCCTTGTTCCATTTTGAGAAGATGAAAGAGTTGGGTTTTGTGTCGTCGCCCCGCCCTTTCAATGAGATCATGCACCTTTATGCCAAGAGTCTCAAAATTGAAAAGGTCCTTGGGGTGTTGGCGGATCTGAAGAAGACCGAGGTTTTGCCTGATAATGATAGTTACAGGATCTGCATTAGTTCATTTGGGTTAAAGCACGATATGGATGGGATGGAGAGAATGCTGAGAGAAATGGAGAGTCAGCCCCACATTGTCATGGACTGGTGTACGTATGCCGTGGTAGCTGAGTTCTATGAAAGAGAATTCCTTGTAGATAAGGCCACCGATGCTCTTGAAAAGGCAAGGATGGCATTACAGAAGAAGAGGAAGAAGAATAGAGGAAACTACAATTTGATGAGCAGTGATTACGAGAATGTGGTGAAGTCACTAGTGAAGCTTGGTGAGTTGGCTGAGGCTAAGAAGTATGCCAAGGAGTGGGAAGCACTCGGTAATTGGCGCAGTGTGGATGATATTTGCATCCCCTACACAATCATTGAGGAATACATCAGAAATGGTGCATTATTGAAGGCGCATTATATAATCTGGCATTGGACCATTAAGGGGAAGATGGGCGTCTACAACCTCTCACGCATACTTTGCAATGAATGCATTAAAGTGGGCGACCTGCTTCAAGCATTTAAGTGCTTTTTGGTAGAGCATTGGAACAGTGTTAATGTTAATAGGTTGTTCATCCAATACCTAGAAGAAGAATGTGGATCATTTTTCCCCTTACGCTGTGCTGGATCATTGTGCACTAGATCACTTAAAACTGCAGCGGGCAAAACGTTGTTGGAGCTCATTCCACTCAATGAGAAATTCAAATTCAAAGTCGCTTTACTGGAACATCCAGAGGACTCGGGGGCCCAAGCAGTGAAGAATTTGGATTATGAGAATATTATAAAGTCACTAGTGGAGTCTGGGGAGTTGAGTGAGGCCAGGAAGATGGCAATGGAGTGGGGAGCAACTGGGAACTTGACGAGTCTCGACGAATTAAACATTTCCAAGTTGATCATCGACGGATATTGTAAACAGTCCCTCTTTATGGAAGCGGAGGCAATGGCTGTGGATTGGACAAGAGACAACAAGTGTTGGGTTCGAGGGATTTGGTTGATACTCGCTTGTCATTACCAGGAGCATGGAAAAATGGTAAGAGGATTGGAGTGCATGAGGAGATTTTTTAGCTTAACACCGAGTCTCAAAGGCAACGACCATTTGATGCTTCAGATGTTTATGTTTATGGTTGAATATTCAAGAGGCATTAAGGCAGCCGGGTGCTTTGGGTATCGCTGGTTAGATTTCATTGACTTGGATCGTTTGCTGTGTCCAAAAGAATTCTGGTATCGTTGTAAATCGTACCCCTCCAATTAGGGGTGTGCATTATTTGGTCCGGTCTTCGGTCCTCATTTTTTCCTCATTCGGGTTCCGGTCCGGTTTTGGGGTAATGTTGTTGTTGGGTTCGTAGTTAGTTATAGAGTTATTCTTTTCATTGACATTATTTATTAGCTAGCTCAATAATGCTCTTTTGTTTTCATTCCTCCTCTTGGACTGTATTACCCTTGTCCAAATCAGTTCAACTACTCCGTCATGTATCAGAATAATGATGTTGTACTTGTTAGAAATTCTGTGAAACTTTTAATTTTTTGGATATGATCTTGTGGAGCCCGACTTAACCATTACATTGACATAAGTGATAAATTTCATTATATTCTCAAGTGTGTTTACATGTCTCAAATCTAAAGGATAAGTAATTACAAATAATTTTTAAAAAGTAGGATTGATTCTTTTTTTTTTTGGTTTTTTACATTTCACTTGAGTATTTTCCTGGTTTTTATGAAGTCAATAATTGTTACTCCCTTTGTCCAAAATTATATTCTTACTTTTCTTATTTGTTTGTTCATAACTTATTTTCTGGATCAACTGGATCAGTTTTGGGTTGGATTTTTTTTTTGTTCGGATATCTTTTAGTTATATGTTATAAATGGTTTGGTTCGGATCGGATTGGTTAAATTTCAGTTCGGATTTGATTCGGTTCGATACATTTTTTGGTTCGGTTTGGTTTCGAGTCAGTTCAGATTTGGTTCGGTTATAAATCTGTTCGGATAGATTTTGGTTTACATAAAATTTGAGTTGGATATATATTGGTTTTGGATCTAGTTTGGTTCGGATATATTTCGGTTTTAGATCAAATATAATTTGGATATATAATATTTTCTAATTAAAATTTAACTATCCATATTTGTTATTATGTTTTATCACATTTATCAATTTATCATCAATTTAATACCTCTTTTTTTTATTTTTTTCTAATTATATTATCGGTACTCTAAATAATCTTCCCTTTTTGACTTTTTAGTCATATTTTACAAATTTGGATTATAAATTGTGAAAACATATATATTTAAATAATGAGAAAAATTTAGTATAATTAAAATGATTTTAAAAATTAGTTTTGAAATATTAAACTTTTCTCACATCTACTAGTATGCTTATGTTTATAAATGAGAAGATGAGAGATAAATTCAAATAGTGCTATGTTCCATTTGAATATAATTTGATAAAAAATAGAGTGAAATTAGGTGAATTTTATTCAATTGAGTGCAAAGTTAATAATTTATTGAGTGTATTTTGTTGAAAATAGATTAAATTAAATTTAATAGAGTCAAGTTTAATATAACTAATTTTACACTTAAATGTAATGGTGTAGATCAAATTTGAAAATGATAACATTAAATACTGTCGCTAGAAAGTCTTTTCAAAATGCTAACACTAGCATCTAATTTTATTGACTAATATTGAGTAAATTGGTTTGAAACTAATCAAATTAGCTCTCAAATCAATAAAATTTATTGGAATGGGTTGAATTCAGGATAAAATCTAGTTATTCCAGACAATTCATCATATAATCTTTTCGTCTAAAAAAGAATATCACACTTCACAATTTAAAAATTATAGAAATTTTATTTGTTTGTGCGTTATCATTTATATGTATGACTTATCTTTAATTTCTACATATAATAAATTTAAGGCATGAAATTTGTACTTTTTCAAGAAGATAATCCATTTTATGAGAGAATGAACAAGTAATGTAATTAGTTCAAATGGAAAAATAAAACTAAAAACTTAAAAATATAATATGCTTATTGAAAGGAAAACATGGTTTCAAATTTATCGATGTAGGTTCTAATCGGTTTGAGATATAATCGATTTCGGGTTTAATCAGTTTCGGGTTTTATCAGTTTTGGATATTATCGGTTTCGGATCTAATCGGTTTTGGGTTTAATCGATTAGGAAATTATCGGTTTCGGATTTAAATCGGATATAAATTATTTAGTTCGGTTTCGGTTCGATTCGGATCATTTCGGGTTTTCGGTTATAGATCGAATCTTCATTTTTTGGGTCATTTTGGTTTCGATTTCAGATATTTCGGTTGGGGTAATCGGTTCCATTTCTGTTTTGCCAGGTCTAATTACCGTCACCTTAACTCCTTAATTAGTATCCATATTTACACTTTATTTCACTTTTTACAATAATCAAAGGACAAATATGGAATGTCAACACATTTTTATAACTCCGTATTAAAAATGAAGGAAGAACTGTATATGGAACTTACGGTATGTTTGGATTGAGGTAGGTAAAATTTTATTAGGTAGGTAATAATAGGTAATAGAAGGTAGGTAATAAAAGGTAGGTAAAACGAAATAATATGTTAAAAATTGTGTTTGGATATTTATTAGGTAAAGTAAAGTAGATAAAATAATAAAATTATCTAAATATCCTTGTTTGGATATTTAGTAGATAAAATCAACAAAAAGAGAGAAGAAAATGAAGAAAATTGCAAAAAAACGAAAAGAATAGAAAAACAAAAAACAAAAAAATTAGGAAAGACAGCAAAAACAGAAAAAAACAGACCACGATTTAGAACCAAAGGAAGAAAAAAAACACCGGGCGCTTGGAATTAGAATTGGAATCAACGCTAGAAAAAAAGGTGTGAAGCAATTGTAGAGATCTGCGTGGGAGAGTTGCAGCAAAGAAGTGAGCAGCAGGGGAAGAAGAGGTGTGAAGGAGAAGGGCAAAGCGGAAAAAAATAGTTTTACCTCGTATGACCGCCGATTCGGCGGTAGTCCATTTTTCACTGTTTAGAGGTAACGTTACCTCCTTCCACCTCCTCTTACCTATCTTCCATTTCACTCCAAACAAGGTAACTTCTCAATTTGACCTTACCTTACCTCCCTCTACCTCCAACCAAACACAGCGTTAGGGAAGTAGGCCAAAGCCCATCGGCTGAGATTGCTGTCGCCTTGCCCTATATAAGAGCTACGGCCCATTCGTGTTTGGATCGTCTTGTCTTGAGGCTCCATCCATCCCCTTTGAAAGGACAATCCATACTAAGGGGGAGTTTGTTTTTTCTGCAGGAAAAGGTCTGCGGTCTGTGAACACATCTGCAGGAAAAGTGGTGGACCGAAGATCTGCGGTCTGCAAGAAAAAGACTGTTTGTTTTTTTAATGTCTGTAGACTGCTATATAAATTAATGGTGGTAGTGTACGGTGGTGGTGTATGGACGATTGTGGTGGTGGTGGAGGGTGGTGGTGGACGTTGACGGCGGTGGTGGTGGACGGTGGTGGTGGTGGACGACGATGGTGATGGACGGTGACGGTG